TCAACCAGGAATAATTCATCTATAATCACTATGTGAGAGCCTGTTCTGCTGTGTTTTGGATAAATCAGCAATAGCAAAATAAAGAGAATGACTGTAATTTGAAGTTGAGACAAAGGAACTATGAAGTACACCTGACAACTTCCTTGACTGTATTTAGCAGTTAAGTGGGACAGACAGCACGTGCTATTCTATTCAGTTCCTGTCTGCAGCTTCTTAACGGATTAATGCTAGCAAAACGTGTGTCAGTCTGGCCTACAAGGTCTCTCCACATGCATACTGCACTTTGCTACAGCTGGGTATTTCCGCAAGACAGAGTTCTTTGGGTGTGTGATTTTAAAGGCAAAAGTAGGAGCAGCAATCTGGTATGAATATTCCTTGTCCTAGGAAAAAAAAAAAACCTGATCTGCAAATGGAATTCATTTACTGATTTGCAGAACAATGAAGTCAAGCAACAAACGATATTAAAAAATACACTCACAAGTGTTTTTGCAGGAGACAGAGGTGTTTATGAACCAAAAAAAGAGGTGTAGAACTTACAATTGCTCTAGGGCAAATTTTAACTGCTTTGCCTTCCTTATTAGATTTCTCATTCATAAAAATATCGTTAGCTGACTTAGCAGTCATTGCACCACATGGGATTTTAGGTGCTTCTAACCATCTGTACTTTTTTTTTTTTTCACATTTCTCCAATTAATTTGTCTAATTTTATCTCTTTGTCTAAATAATTAGAGTTATCTGGAACATCAAGACAAACCTTGATCTCAGCAGGAGTATGGATAGGACATTTGCTCAGAAGCAAAGAATATCAGCTCGAGGCTACCAAAAAGTCCAGTGCCACTCTCAGCTGGCAGTGCTAACAAAAATCCTGTCTTGATCCTGGCACTTTTCCCTAAGCTGGATCCTGAAGTTTCCAGTCAGATTTGCTCTCTGGACACAACATATTCTGAATCAGAGTAACAGCACTAGGTTAATCAATTTGAGCTCCATGCTGACAATCTGCCAGGATTCTAAAGCCTTTACATAAAACTGCACTCTGTAGGGTGTCATGTGTCCCAGATTTCCATCAAATGCAATGGCTGAGCACCCTGTAGGATTAGAATATTAACTTGAATAGTTATATCCACCCATAACTTCCATATGGAAATGCACTACAGAAAGGCATATACAGGGTAGCATATCTCCACTTCTAAAGATCAGGGTTATTTACCAGCTGAGGAAGAAAGCATCTGGGAGAAAATCATGCCTAACCTCAATCTAAGAATTTCAGCAATCCTCCAACAGGGTTTCAAAGCATGTACAAACGTTGCAGTGTACTGACAGAAGAAAATAATTAAAAAATAAAAATTGAAAAACATGAGTCAAAAGGAAGAAACAATGTAATTCTCTCAGAAAAACGTGGAAGGTCTGGATAGAAGCACAGATTTCCTGTTCTTTTAACCAGTTGTGAGTGCACTGTCTCATCAGCCCACGCACGAGATGGAAACTCATCAGTATCAAGGATCATTATGCAAGAAAGAAGATACAAGACTGGTAAGACACATTCATCCAGCAACTCGCTTAAGCCACGATTCAGAGCAGGAAGTTTCACAAACTTTCAATTCCCACACCAGGTTAAATCAATCTAAATCAAATACACTTAAAAGATAAAGCCAGTGAATGGAAAATAAGTCTCTTTGTGCCACCCACTACCAGAAGGTTTATTGTTTGGTTTTTTATTTCTCGAAAACTATTTCCCACTTGAACATTACTTGTATTTAGAAGTCCAGGAATTGGATTATTTTCTGTGGGGAGAAGTGAGTAATTTGCACTATTAGCTGCACTAAGAAAGGTGTGAGGTGGCAGGGAGGGGAGGAGAGAGCCAGTATGGGTTAAAGTTCATTTATGGGGTAGCATAACACTCAAAAATCCCACAGGAACAAGCATTCTTACATGTCTTAAACCAGGCCTTATTTCCAATTCTCTTCCTCACTCAAAAACTCACTCCTCCGTTCCACAGTAATCTTGGGAAGAGGCCTACATGTCATCAAACGTTTCTGCTGATGTTTTTCAGCACAGCAGTTGCTGCCATGTGCCCCATGCAGTGCCCACTGCCCTGTGTCTGACATCGGCCATGGCTGGCTGCCTCATACAGGAGCTCAAGACACTTCAGAAGGCACCAGTCCAAACCCAAGTTCCTCCTCCACCACCAAGAGTTCTCTTGGTGCTTCTCAGTGTTACTGTGGCAAATCTGGGTACTCTTGCTAGCCAGAAATATTTCAGCCTTTTCTGAATCCTTGCAAGCTCTCTGCTGCATGTCCTACAGCACGCACTTTCTTGTATATTTATAGGTAAATATACGATTCTTTTCTCTTTTTGAGAGAAATACATAGATGAAGCATAAATATATATATTTATCTCGGTAAGAGAAAAGAATCATATCTTTATACATAGGATATTTGATGAGCTCAAGGCTGTGATCCACATAGGAAGGGAACTGCAGCAAGAACCATCCATTTCCTCACTCCCTTTGTCTGCGCATTTATTACCAATGAAGGATGGGATGTCAGACATGACAAATCCTTTGGCCACACAGCAGGTCTGGTTCTGGCAGCACAAGGAGGACTTCACTTCTACAGTGTTTTAACAGTGTGTTTCAGTGCTTCAGCAAACTTCCAAGAACCACCAAGAAAAGCAAAGGAATAAGCAATATTCAAACTCAGTAGGCTAAGCTCTCTCTGAGAGCTATGAGAGAGAAACTGAGCTACCGAGGAAAACAATTAGGACCAATTGCATTCATTATTGAGGCAGAACACATCTGAGACCATGTAAGTGTTTATTTATGGGTCAGTTAAAAATAACCCTATAGAAAACAACCATTACATTGCTACTAGCACACACTCGATTCAAAATAGCAATTAAAGTTTCTCATTTCATTTGCTAGGCACTGAGCACAACAGTCCTCACCAAAAGCGAGCTTACAAAAGCTTGGACAAGAAAAAGATTACTTGACATACATATCAAAATGTCAACATAATATGTTGTGCACTCCATTCCCGAGAGTGATTTCATTACTTTTTTTCCAATAGCAGCAATTCCACAAGTGCTTACAAATCACAAGAAAGAAATCAAATGGAAGCAATTGTGAAACTCCTCCATCTATTTTTTATCATCCACATGGAAAAACACACTAAAGGAGTGCTAAGTGCACACTTGAAAAAAACAGAGATCAAGTCCTAAACTTATTTTCTTTCATAATCTTATGGAGCCACAGAATGTTCTGAGTGTGCAAGTTCTATGGTAGCACTGTCCCTTTAAAGTTGGAATGTAACTTGTATTTTTTACCACAAGAAATAGTGCAGCCTCCCATGTTCTTACTGGGAAGTTTTCTAGGGAAAACATCCATTTCCAGAGCATTGCTTTTACACTTTCTGATCAGTGGTCACATGGCTCTTAGAATGTTTTAATGGTATTTTTACTCCATGAACGTTTGCAAGAATTTAATCCAGTCTATTTCTTGCAGTATCTCCTCTTAGGGATCATTATAGCATTCTGACATTTTATAATGAAAATAATTGCTAATTTCTATATTTTCATCTCAGTTGCAATATTCAAAACAAGACTAATCGTCCATTTTTTGCCCTAAGAACTTTCTGAAATTGCTGCTGCACAATAAAACAATTTATAGTATAAGCTACCAGAATAGCTTTAACCTGTCCACTGCACTTGGTCCTTACTCAGAATGATCTGACTCTAAATTTATGTCAATTATTGAATTTAATTGCAGCGATATCTTGTCAAGTAATTTACCTTTATTGTGTAAGGTGATGCTGATGAGTTTGAGAAGTGTGAGAGTGGCACAGAGGTGCAACAACTCACATGAAGTCAGCCACAAGGACAGCTTCAGGGTCAGTGGCAAAAGCAGGTTTCCTGAATCAAAGACCAAACTCTTCTTTGCCCACGTCAGATTAAAATACAACACTGTAGACTAATTAGAAGCATCTGGCTTTAAATCACTATTTGTTTTTATTGCCACTTAAACTAAAGACACATTCAAAGAGGATTCTGGTAGACATATCATCTGTTGTCCTTCCAAAAGTCCTTTGCTTAATACTGAGTGAGGGAAGTGGTAAAGCTTCTTCTTAGCTGTTTATAAAGGAAATCAGAAGATCCTTTGATAAGATGGTATCTGCTTTCCTTCCGCTCACTGCATTCACTGTGAAATAGGGGAATTTTAGCTTTTGTTCCCTGTCCTATACAGTAGTCAAAGGCTCTAAGCAGGACCTCTCTAGGGCACAAGGTGAGGCTGTTACTCCTCAATTCTGTTGTTCTTTGTAGCACTGGAGATACTTCTACAGCACACCCAATATGTATCTTACGACAATTGTTACCAGAAGGTTTCAATTTCAATCTCAATCTCTCTCCCCCAGTAAATAAGTTACAGAAAGAAGACGACTGACAGCACTTGACAACATTGAGCGTGGTGCCAGAATCCAAACCAATGAAGATGCTGCTTCTTGAATGTGACAAAACGCTTATTTTAAGCATACTGAGACAATAAAGTGCTGATTAACAGGCAGCTTTTTCTTCTACAAAACTTACAAGCATGTTGGCTTGTCCTAAATAGAGAAGATGCTGAAGGTTATGCCGTCACAAGTGTAAAAACAGCTCCGCACTCAAATAATGCAAGCCAGCTTTGAGCTGCTGGCATTGCCTCCAGTAGCAGTCTGCGTTCCGCTACGTGGAGGACTGGCCCTATTTTGCTGACAGATTTTTCTGAACTCATTCAGAATAAACACGTGTAATGTTTCTCAGACACACCTACATAATCTGTACTGTTACCTTATCCTGGTACGAATGAGTGCACTGATTTTTCAGGGACTGTTAGTGAGTGATCACTTCAGACTGAGCTAGAAATTGTGATACTCTACCAAGATCCTTTCACACACATTCACACGTTACTACCATGTTCTGCAGAAATTAATATAAAGGGAGCTGAAAATAATACTCACCCACAGAGTCTAAAAATAAGCACCAAAATTTCCCCTCCTCGTTTCTGATTTTTGTTTCCCCTCAGGTGATGACACCGTGCTCCTTTCTGGCTCTCCTGAAACACATCATGTGCTCTGGGTCACAGACTGCTCTGGGAAACTTTGTTTATGCAGAGTTATTGTCTCGGAATGTATTGTGAGATAGACATTAAGGGTCTTTACATTTAAATATGCATAAATAAAATAGGAACTATAGGCATAAGTATAGTATGCATTAATTACAGTAAGTTTGTTTTCAGCTGCACTACTATAAAGAAATACACTTCTTCAGAGGTTTGTTTTTTTTGGTATAACAGATTCTGTTTAGTTTAGACCTGCAGCTCAGCCCATTTCAGACTTCTACAAACAAAACAATTAAAACAGCAGAAGCTTATTGAATATTGGTTGCTTCAGACAACTCAATTTAATGCAGACTTGTTTTATGCAAACATAGGAATTTTAAGAGTACTAGCTTCTTAGAATTGGCAAAAAGGTAATAATTCAGCAGGAGCAGAAACTATCTGTAGTTCCTGCCAAGTGGATGAGCTTTCCCACAAGAGGACAAAGGGAGAAGAGTCCAGATGAAACTAATTGATGATGAGTAGTAACAATCCTATGGAGTTCTGGGGCAATTTGATACTTCTGTAGTATTGATCTGTCCTCAGGCATATGCTTTATGAACAAATAAATCTTCCATAAACACTTAATGAGGCAAGTAGTTTCCATCCCACATACGAAAAAAGCAGGGTCGGTAGGTGTGAACACAGATGGAGGTGGTTCTAGAAGTGAAATGAAAAGGTGGAGTCCTGGGATTATGCTCAACTCTTCTGTTCTGCAGTAGTTAATTTAGAAGTCTTGCTGAAGGGAGGGGAGTCTGACCAGTTTTTCATTACACGCTGTGGACATGTGCATGCAACCCCTGACACAAAGCATCCCCAACCTGCTCTATGACCTACCTGAGTGCACACAGTACAGCTCGTGCCCACAGGACTGGAGCAGGAATCCACAGTGATGATTCTGTGCTCGGAGGGCACATTGCACCCCATCGGAAGGATGTCACGCTGCCAGATGTGTGCTCCATTACATTCTTCTAGTCCTGAAGGAAAAACACTTTAAATTCATACATATAATATTCTTGTTAATGTGAGACAGGAGACTGGCAACATGCCAGTACCAGAGCCAGGAGATGGAAAAAACAGCAAACTAGTAGAGTCTCCCAATGTGAAGCAGACAGATCTATTGTAAGCTGTCTCCATCCTTGGGGCTGGATGGCCCAGGATGATTTGCGAGCACAATATTTACAACTAACACACATGAAATACATTATGGGTAGAAATAAATCTCCTAACATGCAGAGAGAACAGTTAAGATAAAAGAATGCATATGGTAAACTAGGTGAATGTCATTAGAAGCGTGGCACTAAAGCCAGAGCACGTCTTTGGGGCAAAGGATACTGCATGTTTGCACTAATGTTTATCAGTACTCTGGAAGACAAGATGTTAGGAGAAGACTTTTCCTTATTAGTAGTAATTTTTTTCTAGTGAATTTAAAGCTGCTGATGAAAGATATGGTGACAAAAACATCTGGAAGTAAAACACTGCTATAAAGGAGTGTTAGTCTTGTGCCTGCTTCATGAACAGGTACAGGTACAGTCCAAAACCAGACTAATTCTTAACTCACTCATGAAGGGAGCAGCAGTGTGAAGCTCCAGTTACACAGCAATACTGCTTGGAGGTGACGTGTCTACGTCATTTTTTTTGCTGCTTTATTTGTTGGTGTTTTGTGGGGGGGGGGGGGGGGGTGTCATTGTCATTTGGTGTTTTTTTATTTAAAGTAGTCTAAATGGTTTTGATTTACAGATGCTGGGAGGAGCAAACATCTACTTTAACATCTTTGACAAGGTGCCACAGTTCTGTTACAACAAGATATAATCTGAGCAGAATGACCTTTCATATTGACAATGTCACAAGATTGTTTTATGCCCAATGAACTGAAACTATGTAAATAAACCAAGCTCAGGTTAGCCTGAGTCCAATATGACATCTGGAGAAGAGAAACCATAGCTCTACTGTATGTTACCATCAGGTCTTCCAAATTAGTCCCAGTTTGCACTTCTATCAAGTCAAGCACTAATGAAGGACAGAAGAGTAAGTATCAAAAAGGAAGGAATTTAGGAAGGAACATCCTGAGTATTTGCAAGGATTTTCTGTAATGCAGCACAGCACAGCACTGCACTGCACCACTGGAGCACAACCACAATGCTCTCAGTGAGAAGATCCATAGTTGCCTTAATGGCTTTGACTATACCTTCAGATTTAATAGGATTTCTAAACCAGCTATCCTTAATAATCACCAAATTACACAAACCTATTTTCCACGTTTATTTTTACCAAGAAATGCTTTTCTGTTCAATTATATTCTATTTAAAGTTGATTTAATACGCTGTTCTAGTACCAACATGCCACATTAACTGGTACTGGCATTTTTGCCCCACTGCTTTGTGGTTTCATGCCCATAAAAAAGACATGTGATCTGCTGTAATTACTGCAGCTATTACTTATGGATTTTTTTTTTATTTTATTTTATTTTATTTTTTTTTGGTGGAGCCCTTAAGTACATTGATTTCAAAGGATGCACAGAAAACAGGACAAATTCAAATGGCTATAGGCCACAATATTATGAGACACACGTTAAAAAACAAAACAAAACAAAACAAAGAACAGAGAAATGTGAAAACCTCAAGACATTTTTGATCCTAATTTCAGAGCCAAAATCCTTTAAAATGTGGGCAGATTATACAACTCCCTCAGCAGAATCCTAGGCTGGGCCACAGAACCCAGGGCTCCATGCCATCAAACCTAATCTTTGTTTGAGATCTGAAACATTCTCTCCAACAGTTTTCAGTCACATTGCAAAATTGTAGAGGAAGATGAAAGGCAGATTCTCCCCGCCTCTCTCACACTAACCCCAGGGCCTAGAAACATCAGGACTTGATTTAACCAAACGCACAGTGGGCCAGAAAAATGATGAGTGATACCAGGACGTGACTGAAACACAGAAGACTTCATCTGATCCACAGTTTTCCATTGGATCTACTCAGAACCTTGAGCAAACCGAGCCCAAATTACGATCTTAGCACAAATTAAAGTGGTATGTTCAGAGAGCCACTTATTTTTACTTAACTGCAGTAGTTTCAATACTGCTGTTACTTGTACCTTGAGGTCATTGTGCAGGCTCCTTGCCAATTTGGTTTAGGTTGTCTAAATGAAGCTAAATGACTCTTACCATCTCCAGTTGCTGATGACAATGATGACTGTATGCACCTTTTTCTCTATGTTTACTTCAGTCCATCGGCCAGGAGCAAAGCAATCCTCCTCCAGCACACCTCCCTCAAGTAGGGCACAGGGAGAACAGCAAACAAACAAACAGGAAAAGAAAACATCACTCGCAGCACCTTTTCATGTAATAGTAACAGCCTTTTGGTGCCATCATCAGCTATGGCATTTCATTCACACAGAACACTTGTGGGCACATCACATATGTTTTTCCACTCAACGTATTTTTAAATGTTTCCCAGGCAACTGTTTCAATACAATATGCCTCCTTGGCAACCTGGTACCCACAAATGCCATGCCACTCTCCCCAGCCCTCTTTTTTAGGTCTTCCTGTCTCGGCACATAAATGTCACATGGCTGGATTTTGTACGTACAGCCACACAAGTCCTGAACCTGTTCCTACTCTTTGAATGGGAAGGCTGAATGGAAAAGATGAGCTGCTCACTCATCTGTGCACATCAACAAATTCAAGTTCCGGTGCGGTACTGGAGGAAGCAGGTTCCAAAGCCAGTGACTTTTCATTGAAGGCTACGTCACCTAGCACTAAAATTAGGGAGAGCTTACATAACTGTCTCCATTCAGCTGATTTTCTCAAGAAATGGCAATGGGCTCACACTTCTCAGAATGAAACTGCACGTCATCATTATTCTCCTGCCTGTGCTAAAGGAAATCTTTCACAGCTTTCTTAATTTTGTGGCTTCAATTGTAATACGTCCCATCAATGAAAGTAGTCAGAATTTCCCATCTCTCTGCAGACAGCTGTCAGTACTGTGTGAGCCCATAAGGCTGAGTTTCTCTTCCCAGCGCCGCATTTGCTGCTGCTGGGCTGCAGAGGACAGAATGCTGGAGTCCCATCACTGCAGGAGCTCTCACTGATGTTTTACTACATGTACTTCAGCTCCCTGTGCTATCTTTAGGGACATTTTCTTTACAGCATTTAGCAGAATGGACATGCTCATTCTAGAGTGAAGTCACAGCATGTTTGACAAGAACAAAATTTATCAACACCTACTCCTTAACCAAGTGTGAGTTAGAACAAGTAATCACAACACAATAACATTTCAATTTTCTAGCAAAGCACTGTTTATTCTTAACGTTATCCTCTGATCCTGGAGCTATTGCTACAGAACCAAAGATATCTAAAAGGACCAAAACTATCTGACAGCATCAGTTGCCATAAAAAATAAATAAAAGTTTTAACAACTGTGTGGGCTTTAGCCTCAAAGTGGTTTGTTAACAAGATAGTAGCTCATGCATACAATTATATGATTCCCTGAGAGAAACCTTGCAGAGACCACGGTGCCACTTCTTCATCGAATACTCCACAACAATAGCTGAAAATTACAATTTGTCCAGGCTATCAAACGCCTGACACTCCAAATTCTACACCGGCAGCAAAAATCTCCTCCCTGTCTGTGAGCTGTTGTATCTGTAATAGAGACCCTGCATTACCAGGCTTTCTAATTCTTCCCAAATGCAGAAGCTCTCATTCAATGTTGCAGCTGTTGGGTAGGAAATCAGAAATAGCAGAAGGCGGATTAGTTGATAATGTACCAGTTCTTCCCCAGCAAATGCTGCCACCTGCGTTTTACACTCTCCTCTTTCCCTCAGCCCAAGAAAAGATCGCTTGGTTTGTTTGGCAGGCTTAAATGATTGTGGAATTGCAAAAGGATTAGAATTTGTTATAATAGCCCCTTCTTCCTGAGAGCAAAAGTTAAAACTGAGGCCCAATTTACAGCAAGAATCGGGAAACATGTAAGTAAAGATTAAGCATGTGCAGCTCGATGAGCCTCTACAGGGAGTAGATAACTGCACATGCTGGCACTCCATTTACAAGGAAATCCCTAAAGATAATCTGTAGAAGCATTCTAGCTTCCAAAAGCTCAAATCCTTCGACCATTGGCTCAACTCCAGTTAAGGCTGCTGCTGATAAAGACTTGTCTTTGCATTTCCATGAGAACTTTTGTGTAAGATCACAAAACAACTGCAGTTATTGAATTAAGGAAGACTCAAAGTCAAGAGAGAAGTAATGGGATTTCCATGCCAGTTGAGGAAACTACAGCATGATCTCACCCAGCATGGCAGAACCAGGAGCAGGTCCCATTTCACTCTTCACCTTTATGCTACGGCAAGTCCATTTTTAATTCCGGAAAGATACAAATTAAAAATCATCAGCTACACCAGTAATTTGTGTTTTAATACCAGTAATAGTGAAAAATACACTATTCCTTTCATTATATTCTGTCACTTGTCATCCTTGCCGCACACTAATTAATTTTTAAGCTCACCCGTAACAAAGCTGTTGCAAACGTTCTAATGCACGAGTCATAATACCACACAGCAACACCTGCAGCAGGAAAAACAGCCAACACTTCTGATGACCATACCTAACAGCACCAACCTGCGAGTGCAACGCATGCTTTAGGAGGAGAGGATTGCCCAGCTACATTGCAAAGGGTCACAAGATGGGTAAAACACTGACAGACATCACAGGAACAAAGGAAGGAACTGCGGTGTGAGCAAACATTCCTGTAGATGCACCCAGGAATACGCACAGGCGCCTGCAGACGTGAGCTCGGTCAAAAAGCTCTCACTGCCCCCCGGATTTTCTTTAAGCAGGATTTCTGCGCTGTTTGCTGCCGCCAAGCGGTGGTTATTAGTAGTGTAACATCATTCACAGCCTTAATGAAGGCCAGCAAATAAAATCAGACCTCATCGCCCTTGTCATGGCATTTCCAGCCACTCACGCGGCTGAGCCCCTCTTTCCACCTACTCTTTATTTCCTCCTGCTGTTCTTTGCTGTCTGCTGCCATCACTGCGGTCCTTCCTGCAGCCCTAAAGCTCCACATTCACCACTCCAAACAGAATCACAGAATGGCCGGGGTTGGAAGGGACTTCAAGGATGATGAATCTCCAGCCCCCTGCCACACACAGGGCCACCAACCTCCACATTTCACACCAGCCCAGGCTGCCCAGGGCCCCATCTAACCCGGCCTTGAAGACCTCCAGGGATGGACGGGGCATCCACAGCCTCTCTGGGCAGCTGTTCCAGCACCTCACCACTCTCATAGCAAAGAACTTCCCCTGATATCCAACCTAAATCTTCCCTCCCTCAACTTTAAACCATTTCTATCAACTTCAAACCATTTCTTAAAACCACTTCTCACCTGGTTCTGCCTGGGATGCTGATAGTGCCTGCCCTGCCAGGGTGGAAAGGAAAACCAGGGTGGAACCTCATCTCCTCTCTCAGGGAAGCAGCTTCTAAATGGCGGCAGAAGCAAAAAGCATCACAGTTACTTCTGGGGTGCTGCAGCAGATGAGAAAAACACTCAAAACCGTCCTGCCAGAAGAACTGATCAGCATCGCTTTTTCTGGAGAAGGAATCAGATCTGAGATGTACTCTTAATCTACTTTAATACTTAAGTTTGCAGCTGTTGGCTGCAGCCCCGCACGGCAGCACGCAGCACTTTGTTGAGGGCACAAAGACCCACGCAGGGTTTTGCTGTGAGCCGTTCCCTCACAGCTGCGCAGAGCGGGAGGCGGCCGCTCCAACCCCCGCGTTGACCAGAACGCTTCAAAAACACAACTTATTACTGAGGAGATAGCTTTCCAACCCGAGCTGTTAACTCGCTACGGGCCGAGCAGAGCCCATCACGCGGCGGGGCGACGCCTCCCCGCTCAGCCCGCCTCCCTCACCGTTCAGTCGGCGCAGCTCTAAGGGCGGAGTCGCCCAACGGCCGCGCTGAGGCGGCGCCTTTTCCGCCCAACGGCCGAGCGCGCGCAGCGCCGCCTCCTCAATCGTCTCCGCGCGTGCCGCTGCCATGGCTGAGGAAGGAGCTGCCAAGCTGCGCCTCAAGGCCAGGAAGGCGCCGACAGCCTGCGGCCGGGAGCGCCAGTGAGTGCGGGCAGGGCGGGGAAGGGCTCCGCAAAAGGGGCCTGGCGTGGGGAGGCGTTTCTCGCCTTCACGGAGGGCGGAAGCGGCAACACCGCCTCACGCGGCCGCGGGCAGCGCCTCGGGCGCCGTTGCGTCTCCAGCACGTTGTGCGGTTGTGTTTGAGGTCCCTTCATAAAGCACACGAGGTCTTATTAAAACTTGAAATGCACCGCACTTACGGGGCGCCGGGCCCTGCGCCTTCTGCCTTTGCCACCGCGGGACTGGTGAGGAAAGCTGATGCGTGAAAATGAAGCTGGCTTTCTTCAGAGCAGGAAGAGTTTCTCTTTCCCAGCCCTCGGGTAAGGGAGGATGGAGGAAAGGAGGTCCTGCGGTCAGAGGTGGCCCTTCCAAAACCTCCTCAGGTGTTCCTGAGAATCGTCCTCATCATTCAGCATCGCCTCAGGGCTGCCAGCCCAGAAAACGCTTCAGCCAGAAGTGAGAAGAGCAGAGCACAATTCCCACTGACAATCCTTCCTCTTCCAATTGGCTCGATACAACCCTGCGCGCATAAAACCCTTATTATGCTTACTTTATGGTTAATCCTTTCTAATGCCTTCCTAGGAAGGATTAGATAGAGTTGTTTAGAAAGCTAATCAGTAATTTCAGATTGCCACGTGGGAGCAGCCGAGCACACACAGGAAGCGTTGCCTTCCTCAATGCACACAATGATTCCGTGCTCAGCAGGTACCACGTTTGGTCTTTGAGAAGAAAACAGCAGCTACACTTCACTGTACCACTCAGAAATGAAGACAAAAATAAGTGCCTATATCTCATTTGTTATAAGCAGAATGTAATTATTTTAGTGGATGATTTGGAAAACAAGGGTAGACTGCAAAATGAGCTTACAGACAAAATAATTTCTTCTTGTTCTAGAAGAAGCTTGCTGTAGGCTAGACAAAGGTTCCCTTGATAAACAAGTGGCACAATAAACAGCTGAACTTTTTTTCCTCCACAGGGAGTCTCACTTCTTTTAAACTGTGAGAAGTCTGCATTGGTTTACTTATTCCCACTGACAAATAGCTTTTAAGTGCCTCTCTGTGGTTTTACATGCCAAAATTGTCAAATATAATGCTACCTTCAGCACACAGTGCTACTTGATCAACAGAAAATAGGTAAAAAGGGAATTCTGTGCAGTGCAAATGGAAGAGGCATGCCAGTCTGCAATCATAAAACCCCTACCTTGTGCTTAGCCAGGAACAGAGGAGGTCAGCATGCTTAGCCATTGTGTTGGGCTGAAATAGGTTAATATACCATCAGCTATCGGACATTTGATTTTAGAACATCTGTTGCTAAAGCAACAGCTAGGAACATAAATGTTTTAGGAAACCTCAGCACTACGCTAGATGAATTAAGAGGCAGAATAATAGCTATGTATTTTTTTTCCCTCTCTCCCCACCCCCACTACTGGAACTCCCTTGCTTTTCAGAGCATCAACTGACAGAAGTTCCTGGTTTGAAAAAAATGATTTAAATGAGTGTGAAAAAACATGGAGCTTGCTACTGAGGAGCATCAGTCAAGATTTACAATGCACAATTTGGCAAACAGTGCCCCACTTTCCAGAGTTCTTCAGAAAGGTAAAGGAAGTGCATTGTATCCTGTTTGTCTTTGCTTTGTGCCATGCTTACAGTACTGACAGTCTGAATGAGGGTATCAGAGACAACGCTCTGAAATGACTTTTAAATAGATGATTTGCAGCTCTTCACTCTACATACATTGCAGGGAACGGAAGGACAATTCCTGCAAAGAGGTTCTCTGTGCAGGCATAAGTACCAGCACGTCCCTAAAGAAAGGGAATGGGAAAACGTAAATGGTAATAGACTAATTACACAGTATCAGGTATTACACTGCTCCATTACTGAATACAATCTTAAAATACAAGACACTGCACTTGTAAAGCAGATCTTTTTTCTCCCCCTAAACAACAGCAGGTGAGTGTTCTCTGTGGGACATACAAGAACATCCTATTTGTGTTCAGTGGGAATTATTTAGAAATGTTAAGACACTTCTAGGAAGTTGTTAATTGCTTTGCAAGTGCTGGAGATAGATGTCAATAAGATGCTCATTGCTTCCAATGTAGTCTAGCTTTCTGTCTTTTTAGTATGTCCAGCTTTGTTTTTAGTGTATGGATTTGTTCTGAAGACATTGTGGGTATGTCACAGAGCTCTGAGGAAGAGAGTCTACAAAACCAAGAAGTTTTCAAAGTTGGAATGAAAGACTTCCACTGGACACCATTTCCAGCCTTTCACAGGGAACAAAATTTTAAACCAGAAGGTTTTAGCTCCCCTCAGCTAATAGAAACACAGACGGAGCATTTACATGAAGAATGGGACCAAGAAGATGAACTGAAAAGTTTACCTTCTGCATCTGAGCAAAGACGCTGTAAAACTAATACAGATCCAAAAAACATGGCCTGGGAAGACACGAGAGGTTTTTCCAAGGCAGATGCAGATCTCAAGCCATCTAAAGACACACAGCATAAAACTTCTACATGCTACCTGGCATTGTCACAAAGAGCTGTAAAAGCTCCAAGCATTCAACAGCATTGCGGAGGGACTGTGCAGAACAGCAAGGAGAACAGAAAACAAGAGAAAAGAGAGCTTCAAGCACAAACGCATCACAGCAGTACTTCACTTGGTGAGACCAGAAGTGTGCCTGCAGAAAGGAAACCTCCTCTGGGGAGCATGGCTGGAAATGAGAGCTGCAAGGAGAATTCTGGACATCAGAGTGAAGGATCTTCAACTCTTGACAGCTGCCCAATGTGTCTGATTCGTTTCAATGAAACGTGAGTCTCCTATTTCTCTGTGCTGTCTTCCATCTATACAAAAAGCAATACTTCTGGCTACATTCTATGTGATGTTATGAAAATCAAGTAGGCGAAATTTTTACTTGGCTTTTTAATGGCAGAATTCAGCCCTCCATTACTAACTACCTCTATTAAAAAATCTCCCTTCCAGCAATTTAGCACCTACTCTACAATTTACTGTACAATGTGAGTTATGTTTTTTCTTGAAATAACACCACTTACTAGCATTTAGGTTTTTGCAGTTGCTGAAAGCTAATACGGCTCTGAACAGGTCCTCGAACACCGCAGGCTGTCTGCCAAACACTGTCCTTCTCTGAAAGGCTGAATGAGACAAAAGAATGGCTTCATCAACGAGATTTTACAGGAATTGAGAGGAGGGGAGGAGTGGCATAAATGGAGTTGTTTGGCTCTATCTCACCGAGTTCTTTTTGTTTGCAGGCTGTCACAATTGGATATCGATGGCCATCTTGCTAGATGCTTATCTGAAAGCACAGATGATATCGTGTGGTAAACCCAGAATAATGAAGAGCAAAGGGACAAAGTCAAGTATGAACCTTTCTCTGAGGAGGAGGAAAGATGTGTCAAGGAAACATGTCCTTGTCTCAAACTTCCTGAAATATCATCTATCAGGAACTGAGAAGGTCAGGTGCCACCTGCCTGTTGTTTGGGATGGTTTTAAGTCCTCCCATATGTAACCAAAATAGCTGAGACAAGCACGTGCAGCTGCCTTCGCGGAACGTGAAAGAGCACAGCAAACCAGTACCTGAACTTCTGTCTCAGCAAACCTTTCTTCTGGACCTCAAGAGCCAGCAGTTCAGATGTGAGCCAAGTCCATTGAATAAACAGACTACAGCACTGAAGTACAGGCATAATTCTGCAGGTTTTTTAATTTACAATAAGGTCGCTTTAAAAAGTGCAAGTTGGACATAGCTCAGTTTACTGATAAATAATAACAATTAACTTTTTCATTAAAGTCTTTAATAGATGTGCAAGAATATAAATGATCTTAGCTGTTATGGATTAGTATACCATCTTCTGCACAAATAAAACTGGTCAAAGATCCCAACTAATTAATTATACAAAACTACAAGAACATATTTACTGTTTTACAATCATTATATTAGCTAGAATTTTCATTTACTATTTCAAATAAGACAACTATATATCATAACCAGATCCATTTGCAATATATTAGGATTTTTTTTAAACCACACATTACATCCTTCATTTTCTTTTATTTATAAAACAAGTACTTTATATAAAAAATTTCCCCTTCATTATGAACAGAACATTATTCATACACTTGCACATGAGCAACCAAACTTGTATCCAGCAAACTATTTGGCAACACAGCAACATTGTAAATGCCTGTAAGTTTTTAAATAAATCAAGTGTTCTTTACAATGTTTGTTCAGCAGATACGTCTCTGTTCTGCCTTCCCTCCCTCCCAAAAATGTTCTGGCCACCCAGGAACACGTTTAAAAAACAAAAACCAACAAATCACATTTATAATCTTTCAAGTTCTATGCCTCAGCACATCAGAGGACAGCTTCATCTGCCCCGTTTCCTTTCATGAGCTGCCTGCAGTCGCTAGTGTAGCTATTGATCAGCTGTTTAACCAGGGGAACTGAAACAAAAAGTTTTCAGGGTAAACAAAGCAGTTGACAAGGAGAAGAAAAAAATAATCTGAAAATGACAGATTTAAAAGATTTTGTCTTCTAGATAAAGTATCTAAAATCCAGGCATTTGAGGCAAGTACTTCTTACTGGTTAAATTATTTAGTGCTGATTAAAACACATCTTGCTTAATACAAAAAGCTACAGTCAACTGAGAGAAACCCACAACTTAGATCTGAATGGGATTAATAGAACTAAACCACACATCTGCATAATTGTTGCTAATGAAGGGATACAAAATGTGGACTGTTAATGGTTAATTGAAAGTTTTAAACAATGTTTTGGCAGTCTCATCCTAGCACCTCATGACTTGGATGTGAATCCAAAAGATGTCATGTTCAGCACCTAATGCAATGCTGTACCCTGAGAAAACCAGATGTTAATACAAAGAAAGTGAGAGTGTTGCATTTTGTCCTGCAGTTTACACCAAATTAGGCGAGATGACATGGCACAGGGTTTCTCAATATTTCCTGTTTTGTATTTACAACCCACACCATATAGCAAACCAAAAACCCAGCAAAAAGAAATAGTGCCTCACGTTGTTGCTTTAGAGGCAGGTGAGTCCTCACAAGCATCTGACATTTCAGATAGCAATGCACACCAATTCCCATTCGTAGTGACAGAGCTTTTCCAAGCTGGTAACTGACCTGGATGGAACACACACCTTTCCCCACCTTCCCTGTCCCCCAGCCCACCCCATTTCTACAGGAAGGGGTTTGACAGTTACTGTTGTGTACTCAAGTTCTTGGCTATGCTTTGTTCTTCAATTAAAAAGAAGTTACTACTTGGATGCAAACCATTTTTACCAAAACATCCCATTCTTTTATGTAGAATGATTAGTTTATTAATATGCACTGAGCAATCGTAAGCAGACAGTTTATCATAAGCAGGAGGTGTGCTTTATCAGGAAAGCTGACTGCTATGGTTATTCTAGAGTCACTATTTAAACTTTAAGGCTATGCTTTATTATTAATGCTTCCTCTCTGTTTCTGAGTATTCGTGCTGTTGATGAGAACACTTTCCAAAGATCTGGTACACAATATCACTGTAGGTGTAGGCACTGCTTCAATATTTCCAGAAATCCTTCCTGTGCAAATTTAGTTTTCTTCAATTGATACATTTTGGTAGATTTGGAATTTAAAACAACAGATTTGGAAACTGATACTATACAATTTAACTCGGAATTAATATTGCTGAGTCACTCCACATGTCAAATTCTACAAAGAAACAAGTGAACATTAGGTTGCAGCTGTGAACCATGTTTATATGTAAATGATTACTTGAATATTAACAAGCAGAACTTACCAGGTTTAAGAACGCTCCAAATATGTAACAACTCTTCAATGCAGTTTATCCATTTAGGCACTTAAATCTTGTACCCAAACTTATGTTTTGATTGCTAATAAAACACAACTCCTTTTAAATACATCTGAGACGTTTAGACAGGTACCACTTGTGAAAAAAGGCATCAAAAATAAGCTTCAACACCACCGTAATATATTTTATTCTTCAGGATGTTACACTAATATTCTTCAACTGGAACTCATTGCATCAAATGTTTGTAGAAAGCGTGCAGTTCTCAAACTTGTCCAGAAACTCCTTTCCCAGAGATGCAATGAGTGTTTCAATCCTTCATGAAATAGGCACAAAATGTAAATTCCTTCATTAATGAAGCCAGTTGTGTCAGTGCCCAGAATTTAAGAATAACTTAGTGGTGGTAAGACACCCACCAAAATCATTATTCTCTTCTTTGATTTTCAGCAGCAATTTTTTTTTAAATCATTGGTCTCCATCCAGAATCTTACAGTTCCCAGCCTCGCATGCATATACTGTAGGTAAGTATAAATTTAAGGTCATTCACATCGTCCACAGCAAAGATGCCTTTCCCTCATACTGTTTCTTCCGTTGACAGCAACAATGGATTAATATATTCAAATCCTTCAAATTCTGACTGGTCTATTCGTTTTATTATATCTCTGAAAAACAAAAAACAAATGTCATTTTACTGGTTGCAGGTAGTGGTGTTGCTGTGTCTGTTTTCTTCAGGTAACAGCAGAATACCTACAGGAAGCTGTGTCACAGACATACAGAAGGATCAACAAATGGGACAAAAGGTTGGGACACCTCTGAAGATGTATTTCATACTCATGGTTCATCCCATTCACGGGGCCAACCTAGGATTGCAGCAGGCACTTTAATACAAAGAGGCTCTGAAATGCCGTTGTCTTTCAGAAGAGTTCAGCTTTGTTGTGTAGCAGCAAAGAAGAAGGGAAGCACACAGAAGCATACAAGGCTGGAATGTGCCTGCTAATAGTTACTACGTGCAACAGCCTCTTGCACAGATGGCACACAACTGCATGCAGCACTTCAGGCAGTAACTGGTAAATTAGGAATAGTAAATCCATTACTAAATGCCCAATTCCAAAAACTACTTCAGAATTGGCTTTATTAGGCACCCAAAAAGAGCCACAGATTGATCTGGGCACACCTTCATTAACCAGCTCTGCAGAATCCAGTTACAACTCTAGAACACAACAAATTGGTTTTCTTCCAATGTGAAGAAGGCAGCAGGCTGCAGATGTTTGGAAAACAAATGCAGTATAGTCTACAGCACAGGGCTTCTAGCCTAATGAGGAAAAAGCAAGCAGAGGAAATTAAAAATACTGAAAATAAAAAACAAGTGTATGAAGTAGAAGCAAAGCTTTCCTGCTGTCTCACAGTAAAGCTCTCCTGAAAAAATTCTTGCTGCACTGCAATTTCAATATTATTTGTCTCACGTTTTTGGGAAAACTCAGCATTTCCTGATTCACTTTTGATCTGCACCAAATGCCAGACAAGCAGCAAATAGCCTCACTGTACTTGTGACAAAACAGCACCACGCAATAATGCTTCACACACAAGCGACAGCTACAAGAACGCTTCTTCTGATGTTTGCCCCGTACTGCATAGAGCTTCTCCTCGTCCTTCCAGACATCAGTCAAGCTTCCAACTTGAACTGTTAGCACTTCTGTAAATACCCCAAACTGTGTACAGTTACTTTAGTAGAGTTTGGACAATCTAAGATCCAAACTGCCTGGGTTCGAACTAAATGCTGATGCTGAGCAAGCACGTGCCCAACAGTAAATTAATGAGGTGTTCTGACCAACTTAGGGATTATGAGCAATTTTCTAATATACAGAAAGTAAGGTAAGTTGTAGAATATTTGAAGACATTGACTATGTACTAAAGCTAAGTACATATTTCAAGATCACTATGAGAAAACAACTTTTATAACTTAAGATGAATTTAATGTGTGACTGTATTCAGGGAAAAAGAAAGCTTACTCATCATCTGGGGTTAGCTGCACAGGTTCACTGGTGAACTGCGTATCAAAGTTGTCCAGACCATAATCATCTGTGATCTGAGGCTGAAATGGAGGGGTTGTTTGCTTCTTTTCCAGCTAGGAAAAAATACAATGGGAGAGGAAGAAAAGTTACAGATATTCAGTAATTTGTAAACTCCCTAAAAGTAACATAAATTGGCTTGAAAGTACATGTGTAACTATGGTTACTTATTTCTATATTTTAATATTGGTGGAAGGTACAAACATGCTAGTAAGTTTTTTTCTAATAGACTGACACTGAATGGTACATGCTTCTGGATTATATCTAAAGGGCAGCAAAAGGACAACAACTGGAGAAATAATCAGAAATTACCTTCAAACTTGAATAATAGAAAAGCTGTTTCTCAAGTCTCTCACCATATAAATTAAGAAAAAAAAAAAAACCTGCTGCTCTGTAAATCTGGTTCAAGATTTAAAATTGACAGCACATTCAAGCCAAGAAGCCTCCCAGAATCTCTCACATTTTCCCCCCTCCTATAAGTGTCTCTAAAGCTGCCTCTTGCAAAGGCATTTACATCAAGACATCCAGACTTACTGGTTAATGTTAGCTCCAGCACAGAACAAAACTGTAAGCAGCTTTTACTAACATCCCCATCAATGGCTACTCATTAAAAGCAAGAGCCATCATAATAGCTAAAGCAACCCAGAAATTCATTTTGCAATTAAAATGCATCTTTAAGTGTATTTACATACAATGCTTCCTGCTATGAGAACACAAAGCCACTGTTTATCTGCCATATCAAGGACTGCCAAAACACGCGAAAAAACCACTTTTGATTCAAATAATGCTGCTCTAATCATTAAGAACCTTCTCTCATTTGCTGCAGCAGCAGTGTGCTCAACAGAAGCTATAGTTTATTTATTAAGGCAAATCCCTGCTATCACCCAGAGTTGTAAGACTGCTCTTATCACAGCTCTGAGTGACACAGGAGCTGCTGACAGGTTGTGATGTGTTGAAATCTATCCACAGCAGTTAAAAACAGGAAATCCCCCTTGCTTAGCTTGTTCCAAGGGAAGTCATGGACGGGTGTTTTGACTTCCAAAAGCAGGAGGATGCCCACACACATCTACCCTGCTTTGTGAGCAGGTCGCCGACCACAGTGAGATGCTGCAAGACCTGGCCAACTACATCACATATTGCCTGAAATACAAACTAGCACTACCACAGTAATACAATGGAAATAATGCAGAACGTCTCCCCGTTGAAGCACTGTAGAGTAAGAAGCACCCAAAGTTTTAATAAATCAAGTTTTTGTAGGATTGTCTATAAGCAGTTCTAACGGATTTGTATACTTCTTGCATGGTTCTTTAAGGTATCATACATCAAATATTTGTGGATAGAATTCATCATGACTTGATATCTGACAGCATAGTCTAAAGTAACGACAGCAACAAAAACAAAGTGCTCTCACTGCTTCGTAAGAGAAAAGACAAAACCAAATTAAAAAGGTTTCCATTCACACTTAAACACAAAATGCTGTAACCAAGGCAGCACTAGCTGCCCCTCTTCCCAGCTCTACCACGTGGCAAACACTCGTTCTAATTCCTGCATAAGACACAGCCCAAGCAGCAGCCAAGTCAGTGCTACTGCTCAACTCCACATGAGCAAACAAGCCATTCCAAAGCATTACAGTCCGGAAAATCAGTGAGGTAAACAATACCAACTAACACCAAAGGCAAGAACTTAAATCATCAGAACACAGTGTGAACTGAGGAGCATTGTGCACACACAGCCAGAGCAGTGAATGTTTCCAGCACGCAGTTCTAAGCATCCGTGGCATTTCAAGGTCACATCATTAATGCCACATGATGTTATTTCTCTGCCCTGCAAACACACATTTCATGGGAAGGTAACCAACCAAATTCTAATGCCTACAGTTATTGATATGCTGAGGCTATGACTTAAACTGAAACAAATACATAATTTAGGGATGCAATGTAAAGGTAACAAAGTATTTATGCTAGAGAAAAATGATGCATAAAAAAGTGTAACATTTTCTAAAATGTGAAACATCTACACATCTCTAACACCTCACTAATCAGAAACGTTAAGAAAATAAGTAAACTAAGCAAATACAGATAAAAATGAAGAGCACCTTTCATTCCAAGTAAGTGATTCTACCGATTAACAACAGATAGCAAAAATCTTCATAGGCAGATTCACCATGATGAGAACTGATGAGCTTAATTATCAAATGCACCAAGTACAAGGATATCATACAAATTAGCTCACATTTTTTAATGCAAACAAGTTTTCCTACATACTCTAAAGGTTATGCTGCTGTTAGTCTGTCTTTAAGGAAGCTACTGCAATGATTTCAGAGACCAACCCAGATCAGTGCCTCAGGAAAAAGCAAGTCTCAAGTTCTGGCCTTCCCAAACCCCACACATCACTGACCACAGCTTTGCCAGAGTTCTTCCACACCCAGCCCTTCCTCCACCTCTCTCCCACGCTCTGTGTCCACCTCAGCTCATATAGCCAGGAAATAGAGGTAGTAAACTGCTGAACTCCGTCTGGAAAGCCACTCTTGAGAGACAGAACTTACTGTTTTTAAATATTCACTTGAATCTCTCAACTTTCTATTACAAACCAATAATACTGCCATCAGGTCCCATGCTCTGGTTTTATTTTATGATCACACTTTGGCATTTGTTAACCACATATCACAGTGAGAAAATGTTGTTTCATTAGAAAGCCAACTTCAAAAGGATAAGCAGTGTGCCAGTTACAAAGCCAGGCACAGCAAGTGATGGAAGTGGCAGTTCAGTGTGCTGAGTGAAGCACATCACGAATCCAGCTCCTCCATCCATCGCTAATGATTTATGGATGTCAGTAAGTTTCATCTACTTTGTAAAAACAATTCTTGCAGCAACATTTCAGAGACATTACTGAGCGTTAACGAAACTGAAATTATTTGCTCCTGAACTGCCAATTTACAAGTTAGCTGTAATCAGCACTGTTAAACATAACAGATAGCCATATCTTATCAGTGTTTTAGTTATGATCACCTAAGATGGCAATTCTACAAAATGTTTGCTTAGTTGGCATGCTGCTTTTGTTCAAAGCTCCTTTAATTCAAAGAGGCTCTGTGTACACATCACAGAACTGCATTCAGAAATGGACTGAAGTCACTACCTGCCTGCAGAAGGAAGTGTCAGCAAGGATACTGGGGTAAGAATGCAAAAGAAATTGTGATAATGCTATTCTTCAGCATTGGCACATGTCTATCTTAACATCCTCTGTGGGTACTTACAACATTTGCTGGCATTACTACTTTCAGCTATACATATTTATAGCTACATTGTCTGTGCTTTCATAGTTGTCTGAAATGGCCTCCTAACAGTAGAGATTTTCCACGTATGATGCACTTCACAGTGGCTTTCCCATTTAACATTACTGGATTACATTTTAATTGGAAGAACAAATGGTAAATGAGTGCAGACTTCCAGTACTGGAAACACACTATGTTTATCACTCACCCTGGGTTTCTTTAATGGGTCATCTAAGCAGAAATTACAGAACTTGAAACAGGACCAGCATTCCAGTTATGTGCTTTGGAAAAATACACAAGAACAACCTCAGCTGTATCAAATGAGAGGTACAGAACTTCCTGCATGGATCCCCCTGTAATTGAGATGGAGCAAGATGGAGCAGAACTGGGGACAAGATGCTCAGTGGCAGGGTAAGAATTTAGCTTGTATTATGATCCATAATTACATTATCACTGAAAATTTTCTTGTTGGGTAGAATGCTAACAGGCATGCAGCTGATTAAATAGATTTCTAGTTGTTTCAGAGTTAAGTTCTGGCTAAATGAATTACTCCTGCCTTCTCTGGACTGTGGAGGTAGTTTTTCTTTAAATTAAAGAAAATATACTCCAATTACTTTCCCCCTGTTCTATTAAGGAATTTATCACCACAGAAGTTAATACTTAAAAGCTGTGGTAAAAAACATTATGTTACAGGCAGCTTCCTAACCACTAATTGAGCTACACATCTATATGCTCTGTGTTTCTACTCATGCTACAGGGCATAAAAGTGACCAACACATGAATTAGAAGGAAGTTATTTATCCTTAGGAGAAACACTGTAGGCTATGAGCAGTTGGAACCATTTTTACCTTCCTCTGAAGCTTCTGGTAATGGCTTTGATAGAGACAGGCTACCAGACTTGATCATTACTCTGATCTGTTAAGGCCTACGTGGTACATACACTTTGGGTTAAGCCTTGCTGGCCACTGGAGGTCACCGTTCCTCTAGAGAAACATCAGATACAAAATCAACATTCAAAGCTCCCCTTGGAACAGAACTAGCGACGCTAATGGAAAAGCAAAAAGCAGTTTGTTTTCATGCAACATCCTCAGTGACAACAGCATTAAATGACAAAGCAGTAAGATTGTCTTAATATATATTTCTGTATGAAGATTGAAAAACTAGATTTTGTTTTCATAGCAATAATATTCTGTGATACAGCCAGCTTTCTCCCTGGCTCCAGCCTCTTCACACACCTGGATGGACGGCTGAATCACACCGAGGGAAGGGAAGCATTCTTATTTTCTACACCAAGGCCTGTAGGTTCTCTTAAGGTCTTGTTCAGTCTTAAGTAGTTGTATTCTATATTAAATAGCATTCTCTGATCCTATCCGTTCTATGATTCGTTTCAGTAATATTCTTTGAAGAGGTTTCTCACTCGAGTTTTTACACCCATGATGTCCACGGGTTATCAACTGAAACTGCACGTAAGGAGGCCTCTGTGCTGCCTGCATATCAAAAACAGTAACAAGGACTTGAGAGCTGAAATGTATTGTCACTGTATTGTGAAATCAAGTAAAGTTTCACATCTGCCACAAAATCCTCTCCCAACCATCTGACTTCAGGCTCCTCTTTGCCTCACAGATCATATACAAATTACTGCCACTTTAAAATAATTCAAAATGCAAACACGACCTTCTCCCATGTGAAACAGAAGTTTACACAGAGTGTGTTGGCTCCCAGAATCTTATTCCAATATATTTTATAGGTCAATTTCACAAGGAAAAATTGAAGGTTTTCGGACGTTTTGAAGCAACACAAACAACAAGAAGCCACACTGACATGAATTACACTGAGACCAGAAATGCATTCCTATTTTTGCAACCTTTTCCATAATTACTAACATAAGCAGCCTACAAATTCAATGATTCTAAATGCCATTCGAGAGAAATGTCAAAATACTTAAGTATAACTTACTACAAGTTAAGCAGTGAACACTAATATAGTTAGTGCTCCACATTTAAAAATAGAGATCCAAAAATAATTCAGCCATTTAAGCTTGCTGTTCTAACTTGGTACAGCGTAGTCAAGACTGGAAAAACTCCTACACAGATGCAGAATGCTGCAATAGAAGAAAGAGTAGGACAGTGTATTTACTTCTCTTCCTGAGGAACAGCATTTGTGTGCAATTACAGGAGACTCATCTAGTCTACTTAATGCTCCTGATACACCACCAATCAAATGAAAACATCTGAAATGCAGTTAAGATTCACATCTCTAGAGACTCTGATGAACACTCGACTAGAAATCTACAGCTAACAGGTAAAACTTGCAATTAAGAAGTATAAGCAAACAAGTATGGAAAAGCTATTGGCTGTACTTAGTAGGAAGGGAAACACACCAGATGAACTGCAACACTTGAACAGAGTAAATGACCTGAAGTAGCCCTTAACCTTCAAGTCAGAGGAACAGAGACTAAATTTGTTCTAATTTTCAGTAACACCAATCCCCACACTGTAACCCTAAAATTTATATTCTGTTACAATACCCAAAACAAAAAAGCCAGCCATGCTGCCATCACCATAATCTGACAAGACAATGCGAACGATGAGTTGATACTGCTGTGCAAAACGTAGCCATAACTGCTTCTGCACACAGCAGTAGCCATGGCTTTGTAGCACTTCTTCAATATGTAATGGATAAACACTGTAAAAATAGGTACTTTGTGCTGAAACAATTAGAAAGGTTGTGTTGGTGCTTCCCCGAATGCTGTTATACCATGCTGCATACAGAGTAATCTAATATGTTCCTAACCAACCACACACAACTCAGATGACCAAGACTGAAAACAACACTTACAGAGGTTTTGCATGTTATCCTAAATACATTTCCTAATACTAAAAGCATAGCTTAGCTTTTTTCCTGACATCTTCGATCCTCCTGAGCAGTGCTGTCCTAATTATCTTGCAAAATTGTACAGAAACCCACCCCAGTTTTTTATTAGTGTTTTTAATTAGATATTTAATACCAAGGCTTTCAACCAAAAAGTAGGTAGAAAACCAAAATTCAAGTAAACTCAGCATGATCAAGAAGTAATAGTTCCAATTAAGAAGTATTTATACAAACAAAGATCCAAGAGTCTTCTGCACCTCTCAGAAAAACTCTGCAGAACAGAAACCCTGCAGTGCATGGCATTTATTTTCTAACACAAACTGCAGTCAAGTTGCACGATAGCTACCACTGGGTAGCTAACATAATGGAACACAGCACGTAGGTGAAGGGAGAACAGAACGAGCCACAGCTGTGACAGAAGTAGACATCCTTGTAATGATGGTACAAACCGCTCTGTGAACGGCAGGTACTTTAAAACACTGGCTCCTAATGCAGTGAATGTCTTCTCTGAATGCCTCAACAGCAGGCCTGGAAGCAACACTCATATGGCTCTCCTCTGAAGCTCTTTCACATCATTACAGGCACTGCTGCTTGCCTGTTTCTGTATTTTGTGGAGACTTCCCAGGTCTATGAAAACAATACGTGCCTATATTCTCAATATTCAACTAAAGTATTAAAAATGTAATGCTGGTAAGGAAGAGTTCCTGACTTCTTTTTGGCTGTGTCAATAAATGCAACAACGCAGTTCCTATGGTGATTTTCTGTGAAGCAGAGGCATTACTGAGTAACAGAAGCTTTTACAAAACTAGCTTCAATATTTATGCATCCAAACCTATAGACACGCACGTTGTCTGCTCCATCCTAAGCTAAACATTTCCATTATTGCACCAGATATAGAGAAAAACAAGAAATAATCAGAGAATCATTTCAAATACCTACAAAACTTTCACACCTTTTTTTTTTTAAAGAAAAAGATGCAATCCTTCTCTGCCTTAAATGTTACTTCACTCTTACCTACTTGAATAATCCTCCTCATTTTAAAATGTACATAATTTGTTTTTTCAATAATGTATTACAAGTAGACCACAAATGCTTTGTGCATGTGAAGCATCTCACCTGCCATGGCTGTGCTTTAACTGGTTCTGTGGCACTTTCCCTGCTCTTGTTCATTCAGTTAAATAGCAACCTTCCCTCCCTTCGAGGTAGAAAGGTTTCTAACCAGGAAAATTAAGCACTGCTCAATAATACACACTGCCTTTCTCTGTTAGGACTGTGTGAAATGAACACAGAAGAGTACAACCACAGGCACCAAGCATCTCCGCTGGCTAAATTAACAAGAAACTAACAAGATTCCTTTTGAAGGCACAAACAGAAGTAATGATTTTTACCAGATCCCAGTCTATGCTGCGGAAAAACGTGTGAGACTTGATATCAGAAAACCCTGTTTGTGGCTGACAACCAAGCCTTTCCTTGGGATCCTGCAAAAAGCACAGAAACATACTGTTACACACTGAGTCAGTCACAGCCCACATCTGTATCACCAACCCCATCTGCATCACCAGCATTCTCCACTGCTACACAAACAGCTGTTAACACACACATACTACGGCTACCAAAGCACCTTCATTCTCTTTGGAGTTCATATAAAAGCTCTATTTAACCAAGTATTTTACAACTTCTGACAATAATAATTAGACTTAGTAATATATAATTCATATCCTTTCCCCCCCATTTGAATGATGATGGTTCTATGGATTTGAATGAACTTAATTCAATGAACATCAAGTACTACAGATAAGAGTTTATAAATGTCTATAGCAACTTCTAACTAAAGGCAGGCTTTTGAAACAAGTCTGATGTGGGAGTTCTTCAGAACTAACAAGTTGTGTGGTAGTGGTTTGGTTGGTCTTTTTTAAATCATACAGGCTGCCAAGGTTTTACAGATTTTCTTAATAGTAAGCAGATTAACTTCTTAACCGTATTCCTTTCAACAGGAAGTTGACTTCCAGATATTAGATGCTAAAAATAAGAGAATGTCATTTACCTTGTTTAAAAATCCTTTTAACACATGGGAGGCCTTGACAGAAAGAAACCTTGGAATCCGGATTGGCTTCTCAAGGATAACTGTTACAGGTTTAAAAACAGTAATACTGTTGGTTTTGTTTGTTTTGTTACACTGACCATTATTTCAACACAAACACTACATTGTTCAGATATGTTACCAATTGAAAAATGGGAACATTTGGTAATTTTGGAAACTAACATACATTTTTGAACATAAGGAGTTACAGTAATACAGACTATTGCAGCAAAACTTCAAGATTTCAGAAAAAAATGTTAACTACATGATCTTTTTATTTGTAGCACGAACAGGGAATAAAACATTTTGTGTCCTCAGCATAAGTTTGCTTTTAAGCAATAATTCGTAATTCCATGCAATCTTAGTTGGCTTCACTTTTGTTCTTTGACATGCTTTTATCATCTGTAGAAAGGTTCCTAATTCCAGACTGTTTCATCACAGTTCAATAAAATAAATACCTAGGATGAAACCTTAAAAATACTTCATATACTGTAGACCTGCCAGCAGCTGCGAGATGAGAAAAGGAAAAGAGAAGGCAATTCCAAGTGTCCTACTGCAACTGTTGATTTTCATTATTTCTCCCCCAAGAGAAATCATAGAAGAAAAAACCATACCTTGGAAGAGGTAATCTTCAGTGTTCATGTCTGGATTGTCAGTAATGATATCAAACGGAGACCTTCCTGCCATCATTTCAAACATCAATACACCAAGAGCCCACCAGTCCACGCTGAACCCTGCCAATATTTACACAGTAGATTTTAAGCTGCTCTTCCAATTTCAGGGTTCTCTCATAATGTGAAGATTAATGGTCTGGTTCTACACGACCAGTATCAATGGATGAGACTTGACAGGAATTTGGATCACGAAAGCAACCCGTACAGATTGTGTAGGTGTCTGCACACAACCCAACCTACTGAGCAGATCAGTTTATAACACACTGGTTAAGATGATAGTTTCGACTCTGCATAAACAATGAACTTCGTCACAGCATTCCATAACCTTGCCTGGGGAACAATAGCAGTTGGGATGTCAAGTACATCAAGGGTTGAGGCTTGATTTTTATACAGTAACACTGCACTGTTCAGGGAAAGTAGGATTTAAAACCAGCCAAAACGAATGACTTCTGAACTTAAAAGGTTGTTTTTCTCTTGCAAACTTATACAGTATAACATGCATTTAAATTTCCTCAACATATAATGGCACAAAAAATGAGGAAATCCTGTAACAACAGTACTTGAACAAAGCTATGACTCTTAACTTGGATTTGTGCTCAGTTGTAACACCAAATTGCTCAGTCTCAGCTTACCATATTCTTCGCCCCTTAGGATTTCTGGTGCAATGTAATTTGGTGTTCCACAGAAAGTGCTCGTAGTGTCACCAGGGCCCAATCCTTCCTACACACATAAAGCAGTTTAAAGAATTAGAAGTTTACCTCTACTTTGGAGGTAGAAAACTGAACATTAGAAATGAACTTAGTCAAGGTTAACTCCTCTCCTGCAAAGTGATCAGCATAAAAAACATGAAGGAAGAAGTCACAAATCTGGTCCTATGCTTCAGCTGCTTTGCAGCATTAAGTTGCTATTTCACAACCAATTCTGGGCTCAGTAACACTGGTGTTAAGCAAAGGGTAACTTCTGTCAGTTTCCCCTTGATATCACTAGGTGCAGTGTTGGACTTAAAAGCTTAACCAGAGAAATACACTACTGAGTGACAAAGAAAAGAGAAAAGAAAGCTAAGAACATTTTACCTTGCACATGCCATAATCTGTTAATTTGATATGACCCTCTGCATCTAAAAGAACATTGTCTAGTTTTAAATCTCTGTAGATTATGCCTCTTTCATGTAGGAAGTTCAGAGCAATACAAATTTCAGCAGCATAAAACCTGAAAAAGAGAAAATTCTCAAAAACTGTACAAAACCAGTTTGTCTCTGTGAACAGGATACTGAAAGGAAGCTGCATTTGTTCACAAAGGTATCGAACTCATATTGTAAAACCGTTCCTCTACGAATGGCAAATGTAATTTTAAATTCTATTAATCATCTATCAACATATCAAAGAAATGTTAACTGAACGTGAAGCAGTAAATACAAATACATGGAAATGGTTTGCTAATTATCAAAAATCACATCTAAAAAAGTTGACATTTCTTACCATAGCACAACACTCTAATCTTTACAAATAACCTCTGTTTCCCCTTGTCTATTCATATTCTCTTACAGAACAAACTTCCTAAAGAATCTCATACAACATGAAATAACCGAAGGAAAACCACGACAGCTGGATTAGTGAAATACCTTGCATGTTCTTCAGGAAGTTTTCTCTGCCGTTGCATATGAAACATAAGGTCTCCTCCATTTACATACTCTATGACAAGAAATAATCTGAAAGTATACAATAGAATTAATGGCTTCCAAGCAAGTTCTCAGTAGGAAGAAAACTACTGCTATTCTTCCAATTTGAGCCATTTTCACTTCCACTCTTGAATCTGACTTGCATGTTTCTTAGGGTTACCACAATTACTTGAGATTAGGAAAGAAGCCAAAAGAATCCTTGTTGGACCCATATCAGCAGGAGCACATCCTTTATTTGAAAGCAAAGAAAAATGAAGAAAAGCCAGACTAAACAGGAAGAGGACATTTCACTTAATTGTCCACTATTGTGAAAACTGTGGTACTACCAGAAACAGTACGAAAGACAGCAGTGTTTGATTAATATTACGGGCAGGAAATCCCTGCATTTTGCTCCACACTGCACTAAGTTACACCCTCTGAACTGGCCTTGGTGAAGCAATGGAACCCTTCCACAGCTTTCTGGCTGCCATGGCAGTGGTTGTACTTCCTTTACGAGAAGCAGTTAGTCCAATGATTACTGTAATTTCAGATCTTTCTTACCGACTCGTTGTTTGAAAGCAGGAATGTAAACCAACCAGGAATGGGTTGCTGGATGCCTGTTCAAACACATGTTTCTCTGTCTGTACCCAATCAATATCCTGAAATAGAACAATTGAACAATCAGAACTTCTACCAGATGACCACCGTGAACACTCCCAGAAAATTGTTTACATCTAACCTCCCTTGTATATAGCGTTCTCACACGTCCTTAAGAAAGGCTAAGAAACCAAAACTGGAGGAAGATAGAAAACACTTCAGCTCAATTATTCAGTGTGTTTAAATAACTGAGCTTCATTTGCTCATCTGATACTTGAAATTCACTCAATGCAGTTACCAAGCTGTGATGAGTTTGTCCAACCAAAATCACCCTCAGTATTATCACAGACTGCCTTTAATACATCAACAGAAGTTCTGACTACACACTGCAATACAATACAAGAATGTAACAAAATTTCACTGATAACAGTGAAGTACTTGTACCAAAATACCAAAATTCAGATCCATAAGAAAGCATTTCATCATTTTTCTTATAATCATAAGAAATTAAAATGTATGGACAACTGGTTCTAGCAGTAGATACAGGACATTACACAGACCACACTCTGCTCTAGGAACATTCAGCAGCACCCTGCCAAAAATAAGGAATGCAAGTAGTAAGAATTCTCTATTTCTGACAGGTACTTCCAGCTCTCCAGCCAATCTGAAGATAACCAAGACAGCTGCTGAGAATTCAGGCCTTCCTGTCAAGAACAACTGGTGAAGAACCATATGAAGGGAAACAAAGACTTCAACTCCAGGACAACCCGTCTGGCTGAGTAACTGAAGTCTCAAAGGGAATCAAGAACAATTACCAACAAAACCAAATCTGAAAGGTTTGTGTTTAAACACTCCTCAAGAAGTTACATTCCAGACTGGTAAATGTGGGCCTAAATATGAACGCCAAATTCCATTTTGAAGAAACACAATTACTTCTTGTTTTAACAAATGATTTCTCCTTTTGGAGATCCCAAACTAAGCTCATCATATTTGTACATTCATACAACACAGCAGTGCTACATTAGTAAGCTAACATTAACAGGATCAAGCCTAGAAAAATTCATATTCTTCCAATATCTTCTGGTATCACAGCTCATACAGCTCTTCATACGTGCTGCCACTCCTGCACAAGCATGTCACACTGCAGAGTGCCACCAAAGCTGGCAGCCTGACAACGTATGGCATCGTTCTGCAAGGTCTCTCAGAGCACTGTCTGAGCAGGGCTGTGGGCTGTGAACCCATCCCCCACTCCTTTACTTCACATGGCACATCCCAGCTCTGTGGCACTGCAGGTGGTTCAAACCTCCCTTCCTTCTTTGCTGGGATTTGCTTTATCTATTCCATCTTCTTTTAAGTGAACGTAAGTGTAAGGATTAGCACACTTGTTTGAACATTCTTCACATGCATTCCACCAAATTTATGAGTTTTATCAAAATGAGAGACATTTCAAATTGAATCTTGATGCTACACTTTAAGCAGACAGTGACAGGTGACTTCAAAAGCCAGTAAAACTCCTACGACAGAACTGTTTTCTAAGCCTTCTGCTGCCTTCTCATTTGAATGATGTTTGACAAACAGCACTACGTTTCCAAAACACGCAGTGGAATGCAGTCACAGGCTTACCTCATCATCGTGGACCAATTCTTTTTTCACTACTTTCATCGCATAGATTTGATCATTCTTTTTTAACCGAACTAGAAGAACTTTGGCATAGCTTCCACGTCCAATAACTCTGATTAAATCAAAGTCCTGTAGCCCAAGCCCCTGAGAAATCTTAATTCCATCCATTCCATCAATGACTGGTTTGATATCCTGTATAAAAAAAGAAACAAGTAGTTAACTGTTATGAAAGTATCTTCTCTTTCTAGCATCTACCACAGCCAAAAGGTCTTGAACCACTGGACAGAGCTCACTGAGTTTACATGCTGTTGTCACTGCCACATAGATCTGAATGGCTGATAATAACTTCTTTAGAAATATTTTGTTGGTGTTTGTTTTGCTCTCTTGTTCTTGCTCTAGTTGTTCAATGAATCATATAAGTACTCCCTACTGGAAAACAGAAGGCATTGCTTTTAGAAGTGACATTTTAGTCATCCTTAAACTTTAGGCTATGTTGACTTATACTTCACACTGAGCAAAGACCATCTTTTATATTCTGAGATGTGAGAACTGGCAGAAAATATTCTGCCACAAAGAATGCTGTTTTTAAATTCTAAAAGATAAACTTGATCTTAACTATCTGCTGGAATTATGTGATATAACACTACAGATTAAGCAGTTAAAGATTCCCATCCACAACACATTTTGACTTTCCAAATTTCACCAGGATACACAATGCTTTGACACACTTCTATTGCCTATTTTTATCTGACCTCATGCTACAGCACTTGCAGACAGATCAGTGTTCTGCTGAACCAACTATTTATATCAAGAATCTTGATCTAGGATTGACTGCTATTAGAAGAGATTGCTGTGAGCTTAAAGAGTCTATTCAACAAAGCTACCAAAATACCACATCCTCTTTGCAGACACCTGAAATTATTTTAGTTAAGCTCAAAAGCAAGACAGGAAAGTCAGATCATTGTAATTCAGAAGAGCATCCATCAAAATTTAAACAGTGTATACCTGAGCACTGCCATAGCAGAAACCACAGACAACAACAACTCATGTCTTGGCATCTCTGAATTTGAGACAAATTCTAAAGACACATGATGGAAAATAAGGCAGTCACTTACCCAAGAGCAAGAGCTACTCAAGTGTAAATTAATAGTAGTGACAAGTATTGTAGTGGAGGTAGAGGAAAGAAGGTACAGGTTTGTTTAGAAGCAGGATAACAAATCAGCTGCTACAGTTCTGTAAAATGCATTTAATTCAAATATGCCAGAAGCATTTTTAAAATCCTTTTGAATTCAACTCCTTTAAGGGAATAACAGTATGAAGAGATTGTGTCAGAGCCTCTACAAAAGCCGAAAAAAATGGCTTAAGTACATGGTACTTCACTTGTATTTCCACAGGAGCTCTCTGTAAATTATTACTTATCCAGAGAGCTGGATAGGTAATGTACTACCAGATTGAACCAACTCTCTTAATGTTAGCCTGCAGAGGTAGCCCTAGGGTGAGAAGGGGTGTGCATCCATTAGAGAGGGCAGACAACAATGTCAAAGCCACTGCATGCTGTAAGAACCTATACAGCCAAACAGTCTGCTGAACCAGTATTGTTTCAGCGTGAATGCAGGGGATAAAGCCTCTCTCTCACATCATGACTCAGATGACAAGAGCTGTATACAGAAGAAATCAGAAGAATCCAACAACATGCTTTAAGATCATTTTCAGAAAGGAAATTCAGAGTTCTTATTTAAGTGGTAGCAGAGAAAACAGCCAAAATATAATTAGCTATTTGATAAAAGGTGTATGATTAAGAACACGTAGAATTGAATTACAGAAGTCATTTTACAACGTACCTCAGAGTCATCTTTAATGCTGTCATGCTTCCGGTTTGAGGGAATGTAAGGAACTGGAAAACATGTCAAACAGAAGCAGTGTGATTAAGGCCTTACTGGGAATAATCCAAAAAGTGATAAATTGTAAGATAATTCAGTATTTAAGGGCTAGCAGTTTGCTATAAATAATGTGGGACAGTTGATCATGTTTTTCTACTCTATTCTTCCAGTCTTGACAGTAGTTCCTAACCAAGGGCACTGCAAATAACCAACTCTGAGACAGCCAGGAACTCATCAGTGAACATTAGGCAGGATAAATGAGCCCCAGACCCAGAACAGGTTAAACCATGGAAGCATTGATCCAGAAGGAATAATCCCAATTCCACACAATTTAGGAAGCCTTCAGAAAGTCTCAGAGGTGCACTTACCTTAACACTGTAGGTCAGATCTGCTGTTGCCAGCAGATCCACACTTAAATTCACGTTATGGAATGGTTTCAAAACATATGAGTTGAGGATAAGTCTGAATCAAGATGACATGCTTAAAGGAAACTCACTGTAATCAACTTGCTAATGAGCAAAGTTCATGGGACAAAACGAGAGCTCATCAGCCCCAAGTAACCTTTTGAGAAAACAGGCACACTGGAAAGTGGGCTGTGTGTAGCAACTATTCCGGTCCATAGATCCACTCTATCACACCACACTTGCAAGTATGAAGAGAACTTTACCTAGAGAGCTTACTTAACTCTTCAGTCATGAACACAGAAAAGACAATTGCAACCTCTAATAACAAGGTTAAAGATTTCATCCTGTGAGGGATATCAGAGGAGGCAAAGTTACCAATGAACAAAAGATTTTAAAGCAACAAAGACATTCACAGATTTTCAGGGCACAATACTGTAACTATACCACAAATGAGGAAGAACAGGAATTCCATCTTAACAGAAGAATACTCACTTCCATCATTTTCTTCTGAAGGGAGGTCAACTTCATCATTTTTATCACCTAACTGAGGTTCCTGGGAAGGCATGACCGAATCCTTTGGAGACAGACAAACCACACAGGAAAACAACATCAGCTCATACAGACCCTCTTAGGCCACAACGTCTTGCCAAATAACTGCAACAAGAACCCTACATTTGTAGCTTCAAGAAAAAAACCTGGATTTCCAGAAAGTATTTCAGAATATCAACACACTGCAATTGTCCTTTCGAACTACAACAGATGCCCACTCATCTCCCAAATGTGAAATTAGTATACTGTACTGCAAAGTTCAAACTAATTCTTCTCAAGTCTTCTCTGAGTCTTTTATGTGGAACTGTAACAAATTAAATACGTGTCCAAATGATATTGTGCTCTCACTTTAGAGCAGAGGCATATTCTTTCACTCATTATGCAAAGGTATCAAATGACTTGATAAGTATCACGATACCAAGTGATATTATATTATGTTTGGACACTGGTCTCATCCACAACTCATTATGAACCATGTAGGATGACTGCAGCACATACAGGAACACTTACAAATAAACTGCAAGTAATCTAATAATGTCAAGGTAAGTTGTATCTAACACCAGTGAGGAAAAAATGGTTTAAGCTTCCAGTTAGCAAAAAGAATGATGCAAAAAATAAGTAAAGCACTGGTTAAAATCTCTGCTGAGAATATGGAAGGGCTAAACTTCAGGGGCACAGATTAACATCTAAAACCTGGAAAGACGGTAGGGATGCCACTAGAAAAGCAAAAAGTCTTGGAGAAACAGATGGCAAAACCCAGCACAGAGGTGCCAACAAGATCTAAGCGAGTGTCTTAGTTCTTAAAACATTCCCATAGGCTTCGGGAAACAAACGCTAGGATTGTCAGTGACAGCTCTCTATCTATTTGTAAGATGAAATACTGTCTACAGGAAAAATCAAAAATCAAGTTTGCTCACGCACTTGGTCACATCTCAAGTTTTCTTTTCTCACTTTCCTGCTCACAATCTAAAGGCTTATCCTCTGTGGGCATTTTGGAAACTGAAAATCAATTAACACCAAATGTTATGAATCTACAGCCATACAGTGTTTAATCACTTTGGATGCACATCTAGAATTAGCAGAACAGGGCACAGTAAGACATACCAGTTCTAGACAGAACACAAACTTCAACACAAACTCACCATATGCCTTTTGCAGGTCAGTGGAACAAGTATGTGACAACGTTTATGGACCAACAATTTGCAGTTGATACACTTGTAGCCTTGCCTGCTGAGACCCCATATCCTTTCACTGCACTGGCCACAGTATGCTCTCTAGAAAGTAGAATGCACATTATCAATTCCATTATCAATTCCCTCCTGTAGGCTAGCAGAGAGAGCTCACCCTACCAGGTCCCACCCTATTCACTTCCTAATAGATGTGTAACAGAATTTGTGCCACATGTGTAAAAAAAGTATCATAACAGGCAAAAAATGATACAGGACTCCACAAATCAAAATATGAAGACTGTCCTACATCTGCATTTATATACTTCTCAGGCAGAACATACATAGAAACTCTGGAAAACATAATTAAAAATCTTATCTATCAAGTCTGATTTAAAACCTCTGCACGTTGCATTATTTAATACCTGAAATATATGGCCTTTTTCTCCATGTCTGGAAATGGCATCTGAATAAATTAAATCAAAATGAGGAACAAAGTAGTAAGTCAGACATTCTGCTGCTGACTTCAACAAGGCACCTCTTTAAGTAGTTTTTCCACTGTATGCGTGCTGTGGTCATTTTGTACACTTTGCCCAAACTGTCAAATTGCAAACAGATCCTTTTAAGCCAAAAAGTGACCTACCTTCAGTTATCTCCCTATACACAGCACACAGGTTGCCAAATGGTGACTTGCTTACTATTCACTGTCTGCAGACTCCCTCCTGTCATTACTGCAGTGGGGCAACAACGCTGCCCACCATCCTGCTCAGGCAGCCCTGCGCTCATCCCCCATTTCAGGCTTAGAACTCTGCAACTGTCCCAAAGCCACAGAACAGTACAAGTCTGTTCCTCCCAGCAAACTGCAGTTAGTGTGGTTATTCAGATCCTCAGACTAATGAATCATACATGGTGCCCTGCCCAAAAGCATTAAACTACTACGAATCCTTTCCAGTAGTATAATGATCAGAGACTGGATGCTTTTTGAAAAGAAACTGCTCTCTCTATCGCCTCTCATATCTTAATAGCTGTAGAAAACGAAGTTTAATTACATTCCATTTAGCTATGTAGCTACTCCCTGACTGGGAGAAATCCAAGCTATGCTGTCCAGGGGAAAACAAACAAGAGAAAGTGCCAGGGCTGTAAGCCTTGGACATCTGCAGCAGCTTCTTTCAAAAACCCTGCTGCACCAGACTGCCCTCAGTACCCTCGTATGGGTTTGGCAGCAGTGATATTGAAGGCTAAATAAAATGTCCTACAGCTTGGAAACAGCATACGAGAAAATCTCATTTCGCTCGGTTAGATACAGGCAAGCAGGAAAAAAGAAGACAAAAGGGCAACTGTCAGATTCTGTGAGTAATACAAGGATCCCTCGTGCCTGCCCAAAATGCATACAGCCATAGAAATAACAGTGGGCTTTCACATCATGTTCAGCAAGATGATAATCAACAATATTGTAGTCTAATCACTTAAACGCTCAAATGTGTTCATTTACTTGAATTAACTGAGGGAGTTCTAAACAGTTACTGCAAGAAGTGAATGAATTCATAAATTCATACTGCAATCCTGAAAATTCAGTTAAAATTTGATATCCAGTTCAGAAATGCACACGTTACTATGAAATATGACACTGAAATTTACAGGCAATCATGAGTTGAAATTCACATCAACTCAAAAATTATTACTAGCTTCAGTTGGATTTATGCTGTGCTCTGCCTTAAGGAGGTTTAATTTCTACAGGAATGGTTATAGCAAAGTCAAATAAGTATGCTAACAGTTTCCAATTCATCATGTGTTTATTCATCATTAGCCCAATTTCTACAAAAGTTCATTATTTATATTAGTAACAGTAGATTGTTAAGATGGCATGTATGCATCCACAATTAAGTGTTTTAACTCTCTACCAAACGTACAAAGCAAATAAAATTTATGGAATGCTTCATACCACGGATTACAAAAATAAGATAGGAACAGTACAGTGCACAAACACTTGCTCCAATTCAGATAAATAACCTGTTTTTCACATAGACACCAATAAAATAATGACTTTGAAGGGGCTTTTCCTGCTTTTAAAATGCAGATTTGGGATAAGGAACACTAAGGATAAAAAGCATCCAGGCAGTAGTACAAATTTCACAGAGTTCTGCTGAAAAAGACAGTTAACTCACCTCACTGTTCTGTTTTGTATCCAGTTCCCCAAAGTGTACATGACATTTGTATGTGCTGCAATACTTTGACATAATGGGATAAAAGTCAAGGAGGAGCCTCACCCTTAAAGCTACATTCACTAGCTCATGTGGATTAAGTCAGATTCTTAACGCACTTGTATTTTAGCTCAACACAGATTTTTTTCTCTTAATTAGATTACGTAATGCCACCAATTCAAAACAGTTCAGCTAACATCAAGAGCTGTAATACCTAAAAATAACAATATATACTGACAGCAAAAGCTCACGCAGCAATCAGGCAGCTTAATCTCTATGGGTTGATTGAGCCCACGAGTTTAAATATTCACAGACACAGCTTTTAGAGACTTTAAAAATAATTGCCACCAATCAGACTCATAGACTGAGCCTTCCGATTTTTCTGACCCGAATAACGCTGCACAGACTGAAAGCCACATCAATAAGCATCTTGCTTTTCCTTTTATTTTTTCCACCACTCAAATACAGAGAGCACGGACTGAGAAAACAATTACCACAGAGCATTACCAAAACCCTACATTTTATACAACAGTACTCACTCTGTTAAAACGTTTGGCTTGAAACAAATGCCCATTCACTCGGTACAGCTTCCTCCATCTTCTGGCTCCACGTCGGTAGATTGATTCTAAGAAAGAAATTAAGAAGGTGTAAAGCAGCAGCATGGTTGCACAGCAATAGCAGACACGCTACGGTAAGCAAGTTGTGACTTAAAACAATCTTGCTTTTCTAAATAGCAACGCACAGCTAAGATCCCTGCCGGTTTATTTTTTTTAAGGCAGCCTTAATGACAGCTTCTGCAGGAGGCTCTCAGGCTGCCTCTCCCTTTTTTACATCTCTGTCTCTTTTTCTTCACATGATCCTAATCTTGTTTCCTGCCTGCGTGCTGTTCAAGCTCAGGTGAGAAGGAAGGACGGGTGACAGTTAAAGGAACAGCTTCCTGCAGGGAAACTGCCGTGTGGATCCCACCACAGCAACCTCATACATGCACATGAGAAGGAGCCTGGTGCTAAGAACACTGCGCAGTTAAAGAGTTGAAGATGTCACAGATCTGCAGCATTGCATTATTTGACCTCAGTTTTATCTTGGTTCGTAAATGCTATCCACAACTGTTTATTCCATTACGGAAACGGCTCGAGCGCAGGGCCGCAATTATTTCGAATACAGTCCAAACATGACAACAATAAATAATTTAAGCTGCTTAAGACAGATCTTTCAAGAAGGCAAGCAAAACAGCACCCAGCACCTACTCCAATTCCATTTTGTTGTCACTTTCCACATATATATGCGCACTGTTTGCCTGGCTCTTTAGAGAATTTGATATTAAGTACAAAGTATTAAAAAATTCATTGCGCAGCACCAGTCCTGCTGAGCTGCTCACAGCTGCACGGCGACACAGAACAGGTCCTCGATGCGAGCAGCACTGGGCTGCCCAGAGCAGCAGCACCAGTGGGTCCTGGCAGGGAAACACATGGGGAAGAGATGGACTGGGGAGCTGTGAGCAATTTCAGCAGTCACGTGAAAGCTGGCACTGCAGCCTTGCTAACAAGCAGCCAAACTGGAAGTCTATCATAGCATGATCCTAACTGCTGAATTATTAAGAGGTTCAAATATGTAAGTTCACACATTATGAGCAAACCTCAAAGTTGAAAACCTATTTTTGACAGTGAGGCACACGCGACATCTCCTTAAACATTTCCAGGCAATGCATCTTGCAGCGTTTTCACTGGTAACACAGCACCATACAGCTTCCAAAGAAAAATAAGCAGATAAAATACTTCTTAGATAGCACTGCTTTAAAATCATCTTCAGTAACACGAGTAACATTTTCCTATACAAAGCTCTAGCAGAATGCCTTTTCAAACACACTATTTATACTAGCTATAATGCAACTTAAAGCAGCTGGCAGCTTGTACAGGATATTTTTTATCCACTTCATACATGAAACATTAGCAAGTAAACCAGTGTCATAGGGAATAGAGAACTACACAGCTTTGGAAGCACAAACAGCTCCCATTGAGAAGGTAATAATAATAAGATGCACACTTTTATGAGACCTTACAAATGGCAACGTGGGCTGTAATTTTTATCTAGGTCATTGCTAGGACCAATGAAAGCAAGCTTCCCTATATGTGACTCTAAGTGTATTAGGGTCCAATCATGCTTTCTATAACCAAACCTCTGGACTTCAGGTTACAGTTAAAACCACAGAAAATCCAATAACACAGTTGTAGTCTTTGCTATCAAGGTAAAAACAACCTTTAGATCCCTTTACTCAAAATTCAAAACAAGTTCAATGTTGCTTTGTGAAATGCTACTATCCTCTGTAATTAGCTACAAATCTTCCTGATACAACTGCAAAATATACCATACACAAACATCAATCTGAAACCGTCCCACCATTCGTAGGATGACTTTTCACCAAGAAGAAAAAACTTCTAAGATTTTCTCCAGGATAGCTAATGGATTCATTAGACAAAGCACCATATGGAGACAACTCATACATCTGTGCTCTGAGCAGCAGCTTATCACCAGCACGAGGAATAGTAAGTGACGGGTAAGTTAACGAGCAGCTCGTGTTGATGAAGTCTGTAAATAAAGGAGCAAGTCACTTCCCTAATTAATGATAAATATTAAATTCAAAGTCGGGATTTCATATCATATTCTTAGGAGGCAGCAGTCTAACAGCAGCTAACTTAATACAGCTTCATTTAAGTACAATGCCCTCCCCCACCCCATTTCTTTGGGACGACAGCCACTGATTCAGTGTGGGGTCGATTCCCACTCCCTGTCTGTTACATCCCAAACTTTACATACCTCCAAGATCACAGTTTTGGAATAGAGACCTTATTTTCAAGTTCAGATTAAAAGAAATAAAAATTCAGCTGAATGAGTACTTCACCCAACTGCCTGTACATTGAAAACAGTGTGAAACAACTGTCACTGCTGAGCAGCTCTTCCCTCTGTCATCAAGCTCTACGTCTACATCACTAACAGGAATGCCTGTAAATATATTTGATAGCTGTTTTGTTTGCACTCTACATGTATTTTTCACCACCTCTTCAAGTCAAAAGAAAAAAGAAGAAAGAAACAAAATGTTTTAAATTGTGGATATAAACTGATGAGTGATTTAAGAAGTCTGCTGTTTGCTCTTCACTCTAAATTGATTCATCTACAGCAGATGCTTCCCCATTCAAGATTGGCCCCATCAGGACTTACCAGAAACTGGGAGGGGGTTGAACACTGCTTTTAAGCAATACAACTTGGAAAAACAGAGATAAACAGAAGAAAGTGCAATTATTTTTCAGATGACAATACACTTTCCCAGCACTACAGGATAAAAGGAATCGAAAACACAGGCCCAGCCTTTCCCTAGGCCCAAAACATAGTTTTTCCCATCCAAAGCAGCTTGACAAAGCTTGTACTTTCCAGAATGTGTAAGAGAATTCATCAGCTGTCTGAAAAGTGTGCCTTGTATCAACCAACAGCAATGGGAGAGCCACAAACATTTTATTTCCCCTGCATTTGGATTTTATAAATGCTTTTTATGAGTCCAAAATCTGCTTTTATGCAAACTATAATGAAATCTTTTACCATAATAAGCACAGAGATAATTTGCTACCACTGCAAATCACTTCTCAGAGATTAATGCAAGTTGTTTACAGGCCAATTACATGGCCTGCCAGCTGGACACTATGAGAATGCCCACTTTTTGTTTTGTTCTTTTAATGTTTTGCTGAGCAGACAAGTGAGCATTCTTTTAAAACCAACTTAGAAATCAGAACTATGAAACGGATACTGGCATTTCAGATGGACTCTCAGGGAGATGATTCTGTATAAAGATAGAATAAATTTAGTGAAAGCAAACTCTAAATGACTTGGATGTATGTTGCTCACATCTCTGCTACTTAATATTTCTCCAACAGTTGCACTGAAACGATAAAACCACTTTCTAAAGCACGTAACAGACATGCATTGTATGGTGTTAACAGGCCTTTCCTTTTGCTACCACTAAGCTGCTATGTTCAACTGACATTCTTTTTCAGAAGTTGTGAAGACTAAGTATGAAGCATTCTCAATTCAAGAAACTGCAAGCATTACTGAAATGGACAAGGTGCCATCTATTTTATTTAGAACTAGCTAGTATTTAGGAAATAATAAAACCTCTTCTTTTCATCTCCTTTCCAACAGACAGCAAGTTCAAAAGGCTCAGCCAACACCCAATTCAGCACTGCTGGGCACAAAACCTGCCCTCCATGCATACTGATTCCTCATGCACGATCTCTCCATTGCCCATCTTCATATGCTCCTCTTGAAGTGGCTGATAAGTCAGACTTAACAGGACACTGGCATGCAATAAAAACAGAACTACTATATCATTTTTAATGCTGTTGTGTGCCTCTTTAGTTCAACCACACCCATTAATGCCTTGTGTGTGCTCTTGGTCTGAATGTTTAAAAGCTCATCTGAATGGTTACTGGAAAAAAAAAAAATCAGGACCGCCTCATCATTAAAATCACTGTTGGCATTAAAAATGACATTCTCAAAAAGAAACACAACATCAAGAAATAAAATGCTCAAATAATACTTAAGCTTCCCTCAGGAGTTCTCTTTCCCTGTGATCAACAGATGGACAATCAATCCAAAATATCACACATGAGGCCTGAGAAGCACCTTGTGTGGAAGCTTATGATGCATGCTAGCAGAACCAGCAGGATAGCTGCTTTAGCTATCAACAAACAGAAGGTGTCTAAGGAACTGACTTAGCAACTCTTGAGCAACAGAAAATTATCAACTGATACTCAAATAGTTATGTAAACATTTGGAAGCAAACAGTTTATAGAATTATTTCTTGGAAACAGTGATGGAATTGTAGCCCTGCAATTACCATGGCCTGCAAGAGCAGGAGATACTCAGCATGGTTCTGGCAAGCAAAAACAACAAAACAGGACTTAAAAAAAAATCCCATAATCAGATATAGCAAAGATGATGATTTTAAATGGTCCAGTCTGCATTAACATTGCGTATAAGACTGTAATATGGTTACTATGTCAAGTGCAATTAGAACAACCACGGCTGCCACAGCCACGTGCCTGCTTACATCCAATATGGGCAATGCACAAGAACAGGTAATTAGAACTTGTGCCTTGCTGAAGGTAATATTCAGTTAGGCAGGCAGTGTACCTGCATTACACTCAACAGTTCAGCTGAATTTGTTAAAGACTGCTGTAAGAATAGTTTAATGCATTGATAATGTTGCCAAAATGGATAAATCTGAGTCCAGAGTAGGATTTCCCCAGTCACTGTTAGAGAGGCTACTGCAGGTTTGGTGATCAACTTACTTCCATACTAAATTCTAGAACAACTGTGAAATCACCACATTATTTGAATACAATTCTCTTTTTTACTTGTGAGACTTGGCATTAATCAAACAACCACTAAGAAGTTTTCTTCCGGTGCCCATCAGATTACTTGACTCGCATTCAAGTTATAAGCATCCATACTTACTTGATTTGGTCATCACTTAAATTGCAGAATTGTTAAAGAAAACTCAATTTCAGTACCTGGTGGTTTAACATTTATTTCAAATTCACAAGGCTCGCATCAGGTGGCTCCACAACGCCCTTG